GAGTTCAACTATTCATGTGGCTCCTCTATCAAAAATGGATCCAATGTCGTTCTAATCTATAGGAGAAAGGAATTGTCAGGCAATACTGGGCGACACTTGGCATTGACAAGCCATCTACACATGATGTACATGGCTTGCATAAACTCAACCGCTCTCGGAACATCCCACAACATGGTTTTGATACACTAGTGGCGCTAGCCTAGTTTACGTCAGCTGTGGAAGAGAACGAATGTCGTGGTCTTCAGAGAAGAAAGTCGACCTTCTCTTCACTAGCTTCTAGGGTCAAGCAGAAGTGAAGCGGAATAATGGAGAATCAGAATGCCTATAAAGAAAAGGCCAGTGGTAGATCAATGGTTTATGCTTTTCCATGTAGCGGTGGCTCAAATCCCATGAGCTTAGAGAGAAAATAGAAGAATTTTTCTTAGGTACATCTTCCATTCTCTACATCCATGCTAGTATCTGGAGATATGTTATTTGTATTCTCTAACAGCCATTTATCGGCCAAATACAAAAAAATAAGGTGGGAAATCCCCCCCCCAACAGCGTTGACTCTCGACTACGTATGTATGAAAAATATAGTTAAAATAAATACATATAATTATGTTTGTATGAGGTGGGCCCTTGAGCTTCAGGGCATCAAAGACCCCTCTACCCCGGGCCAACAGTAGGAGGATGCTGAATATATATAATATATCTTTCAGCTTTTATCTTATACTACTCTTATAAAGCAAAACCCCACTAGTTATTTATCTCAACAAGCAAGCTATCTAACTAGGCAATGCACTATCACAAACAATTAAAATCCACTAAGCAAAACCCCACTGATTATTTATCTCAACATGCAAGATGTCCAACTAGGCAATGCATTATCACATACAATTAAAATCCACTAGCACATGCAACTGTAATGTCCACGTCAGCAAGACACATAAGCATTTTGTTATCCACATCATCATACCACACAATCCACTAATCCATAACTCCCGCAGCAACGCACGAGGTATGCTTCTAGTTTTTTAGTTTTGGGTCACTTAGATTCTATTGTGTATACACAAATCGATATTGATAACGAAACAAGTATCTAGTTCCTCAAACAACATCATATTGTTTATACACAAATTAATACTGATAACGGAACAAGCATCTAGTTCCTCAAACAATGGTCCACCATACACAACAATGGTTGAACATATTAATTATTTAATCTGGTAATAATTTAGTCACACCACTCCCATTTTTGTAGCCATTAGTAGAGCAATGCTTTACTAGCCTAAATGGACACAAAAACAATACTAACCTGAATACCCGGAGATGGTAGGATGGACTCTAGAAGCCTTATATGTTGGTCTAACCCACCTTTAACAACTAAGGTGGGACTAAACCCCCACAATATCTCATTAACATGCACATGGCCCACTACGGGCTAAATTCCAAATTGGACCAGATGTGACATACACCCCTCTGAAAGGAACTGACGTCCTCGTCGGCCCAACACACCCACAACTGGGCAAACGGTGACCAGATACATTCCCTCTTAGCACACACGACCGTACATCCAGTGCCGGCACATGTGCCATGCCGTGCACCCTGCAGGACCTACATGAGCAATGAGCTCCATGTCCATGCTCCTGACCGGCACGCGCCCGTGGCCACAAAGGTCGGCTCCGATACCATTTGTAACACCCCAGAGTCCAAATGGCTCATATCCACTCTACACGCTGAGTGAACCATACCTACTACCATCTCACTTACGCTTTCGTCCTCACTTCGTGTAAAAGGATTAACCCAGGATGGTAGGATGGACTCTAGAAGCCTTATATGTTGGTCTAACCCACCTTTTAACAACCAAGGTGGGACTAACCCCCCCCCCCCACACAATATCTCATTAACATGCACATGGGCCACTACGGACCAAATTCCAAATTAGACCAGATGTGACACTACTTCATCAAAATTAGTTTTGCTCCACCAAATCCACCATAAAAAAGCAGGTCCACAAAATACTTAGAGTTTCTAGAATGCTCCTTTAGGTGCTCCATAAAACACCTAGACTTGGCCTTCAACTTCATCGTTTTCTAGAGCAGAGTTCGTAGAGATGTCCTTGTTTGGCTAGCAAAGTTGGAGCGGAGCTGAAAAATATAGAGTGGAGCAATCCCAAACATGCCCTTAGTGGGGGTCATTATGCCCAAGTCTAGGACAATAAGTTCAAGGTTGGACCTTCCATGTATTTCATTGTCATTAATCTTTCTAATCACATGCTTGGGCCTAGCTTTGCGTCTGACGAGGGTCTCCAACCAATACTTGATAGTATCTCGTGATGACAATCTATACACAATTATTTTCTTGTAATGTTCTAGTTGAAAATCGTAGATGCCACTTTTTAACACAAGGCTCTAACAAATGCACCTAGTAAATCATGCAAACAAAGACAAGTCCGTCATACTATAGCATTTAGATACTGTGCACCTATATCATCCAATCATAAGCAACCTTTTTATTTTATGGGGTCCTCAAAAGAGCACCCCTCTAACAATCAAAACAATCATAATCAAGCCCTTTTCACACAACAACTAGAGATAGAATGCACTTCATCAAAACTAGCTCATGCCTCCTTCAAAAATGGCAAGTCCACTCTAAAACCAACATCTAGTCACTTTGCTCGTATGTCGTCAAATCACAGTTGCCCTTTTCTTTTATAGGATCCCGAGTGCTGCTAACAATCAAAATCAAGCACCTTTTAGGAAATCACCCATCAGAGAAATCCATCCCAAATCAAAACTTATGGTGTTACAAAAGGAAATCTAAACCACATGGTGAATCTAAACCACATGGTGAATGTTCTCAATTTTAATGTAAATATCATGCATGATGAAGACACATTTCTTTGCTTTGAGTTCTCACATAAAAGCAACATAACATTTAAAATGGAACACACTCTCATGCTCCTTTTATACAATCCAACATGTTCATCGCCTCCTTTGAAAAAGACAACTTCATCCTATTATAGCATTTTTGTACTTCATGTGTCTATTATTTGATCAGAAACAAAGTTTTCCTTTCATAGAATCATCACAATTAAAGAGCACCACTTACAACCAAAATCAACCTCCTTAATATAACTACTCATGATGGTACACACATATATATACCATTTTCACACATCTACACGTGTCAATAACATGTGATTGCCATATCTCTAAGAACTCATCATGCAAAGAACCATCACTACCTGTCTACTGTGTTCTTTTCTATTATTCACCTTCATTATCACAGACAATAGAGATACAAATCTATTCATCAAAACTTATGGCCTCATAAAACATATGTAGATTAAAGGCAATCCAAACCTCTCCCTTCTAGATGAGCCAATCATTGCAATAACTAGACATGCATCAATAGTTCATAGTCTTCTCACGCTTTCACGTCAATGTCTTGCATGATGGCAGTCCGTGAAAACCTTTTTTCTTGTATTTTTTATTTTGAAACAGTAGATGACAATTTTATTAGCGCAAAAGCGTCATAGAAAAGCATCGCTAACATTTCCAACAGAAACCTAGTTTCGTGCACTATTTCAGTGGAACCATTCAAGTAGCCTGAAACCGTAGATGACGCATTTCTTAGCATAGAAGCCTCACGGAAAAGCACAACTAACACTTAAAATAGAACCGGCTTTCGTGCTCTATTTGATCAAAACCGTTCAAAGAGGCCTCACAGAAAAGCATCGCTAACTTTTAAAATGGAACTGGCTTTCGTGCTCTGTTTCATGAGAATTATCCAAGGAGGCCTCACTAGAAAGCACCGCTAACATTTAAAACGGAACCCGATTTCGTACTCTGTTTCATCAGAACCGTTCAAAGATGCCCCACAGAAAACCACAGCTAACATTTAAAACGGAACCGGCTTTTGTGGTATGTTTCATCAGAACTATTCAAGGAGGCCTCACTGGAAAAGCACCGCTAACATTTAAAATGGAACCCGATTACGTGCTCTGCTTCATTAGAACCGTTCAAAGATGCCTCACAGAAAAGCACCGCTAACATTTAAAACGAAACCCGATTTCATGCTCTGTTTCATCAGAACCATTCAAAGAGGCCTCACTGGAAAACAACGGTAACATTTAAAACGGAACCCGATTTCGTGCTCTGGTTTATTGGAACTATACAGCTAGCTTGAAACTGTAGTCTGAGGCTTTCCTTATCATAGAGGCATCACATAAAAGCATTCCTAACATTGAGAACGAACCGATTTCGTGCACTATTTCATCAAATCCGTTCAACTAGCTTGAATCTATGGAGGACGCTTTTCTTAGCTCACAGACATTATAGAAAAAGCACAACAAAAAATCATTTCCTTTTACATAATTCTCGCAAGAGCCCCTCACCACAATGCACTATAGTAAGCATGCAGTTCCTTCACAAAATCAATACCCGCCCGTGTCTCTCTCTCTAGAACTCGACGTGCAAGTGTAAAAAAACACCCGGACAATCTACTGTGATCAAATCAAATTCATAACCAAACGACTCCAGGATATAGAGTTGGAATGCTTCACGTAAATCTTTACTGATCCCTTAGAGCGTCCGAAGACGTATTGTATCGAACTTTTTCTCTACCTGATACAAAGACACGCAAATCTTTGTGTGACCGAGAGAAAAAAAATATATAGAGTTGGAATGCTATTTATCACAAAATTTGACAATAGAAGACAAAAATAAAAAGAAAGAAAAGAATGGGAAAAAAAGAGAGCAATCCAAAAACTCACCTTCCATTTGTCCGTTTCCTGCGTGAGCATGTGCTCGAAACGCCCCCACCTCACTCTCCCCTCTTTAAATAACCCCACTCCTGACTCCCCCTTCTTCCCCACCAGGCCACCACCACCACCACCGGCAGCACGGCAGCACCTCTGCCGTCCCCGCTTCCTCTCCCACGCGCCGTGCCGTCACCGAAACCCCACCGCCACCAACCTACCGGATCAAGGCGACGCACGCAGCCCGGGCGGCGCGATGCTGGAGGAGGCGATCCCCGCGCTGCTGAGCGCGGTCCACGGGTGGTTCACCCCCGCCGTGCTCTTCGTCGTCCTCAACATCGTCATCGGCACCATCGCTGTCACCTCCAAGGCCGCCGCCGCCTCGGAGACCGGCGGCGAAGAGGAGGAGAACATCGCCGCTGCGGGCGCGGGATGGGAGCAGCACCGGCGGCTGGCCCGCGTGACGTCCATGGCGTTCGAGCGGTTGAGGTCGTTCAACGGCCGCTTCGCCGCGGCCGCACCCGAGCCCGACCCCGCCGAGGCCGGGGTGGTGGATCTGGGGCACGAGCAGCCCCCCGCGGCGGAGATGGAGAAGGAGGATCCCGTCGTCGTCGAGCCGGAGCCGGAGCCGGAGCCGGAGCCCGAGCACGCGGCGCGCATGGAGCGGAGCAGGTCGGAGGCGGAGGCGGAGCTCCCTCGGCTCCCGGCGCGCCTGCACAAGTCGGCCAGCGACAAGTCGGCGTTCGCGCACTTCGGCGCCGAGGAGGTGGAGCAGACCGCGCGCGCGGTGGAAGCGCGGCGCCCGGCCACGACGAGGGAGACCCGCGGCCGCCGGCGGTTCCCCGTGGCGGAGCCGGAGTCGTCGGAGTCCGAGTCCGATTCGGAGGAGGAGGAGGAGGCCATCAGCGGCGGCGAGGTGGACGCGCGCGCGGACGACTTCATCAACCGGTTCCGCCACCAGCTGAAGCTGCAGCGCATCGACTCCTTCATCCGCCACAGGGAGACGGTCCGCCGCGGCCAGGCCCAGGCGGCGGCCCGGGGCGTGTAGCCAGCCGAGGGAGCGAGATGCTGCTGCAAGAGTCCTCCGTGAGCCCGTGAGGAGAGGTTGAAATGGATGAAGCGAAGATGCAGAGAAGGCAGGCATGCTGGGGGATCGGTCGGGAGGTAGGGGGAGGAGAGGAGATGGTAATTCCTGCCTACCCTGCCTTCTTCTGTTCTTCCCCGCCTGCTAGCTTTGGTTTTCCCCGTTTGCTGTTTCCCGGTGCGTGCGAGCATGTCGTAGCTCCATGCGCTTTTTTGGATACAAGAACCTTGCGCAATGTGGTACATGTCATCGCGTCGCATCATATATATTCATAATATATGCGAATCGATAAAAGGAAACCCGTAGCTGTAAATTATGGCTCTGTTTTCTAGCATTTCTGCTTCGTGGTTCTTTTTTGAGATCATGCTCATGCTTTTTCTTTCTTTCTTTCTTTCTTTTGATGGAAGATTATGCTCACGCTTCATACTGTAGTAACGATGACATGATCACAGGCAGCGATTCTCTTCTCTATCTGGAACAGAGGAATGCTGCAGCGAATGTTGGTGCTCTGCTCTTAGCAACACGAACAATGCGTAGTAGCTGGAATAATCGCGCGGTGCTGATTAACCCTGCCCTCTCTTCCTCTGCGAACGGCACTGTTCGATTGCGTCGGAGCACCACTGGCGATTAAGATAAGACACGGGGCGATTAACCGCCTAGTCAGCAGTCATGGGCACAAGCTGATGCTGATGCTGATCCCTTTGAGATTCCTCTAGAAACCTGTGTGAGGCGCGTAGAGTACGGACAAGCGCGCGCAGCTCTGGTTACTCATCACTCAGATGCGGTCGGTCGCGGCACGCGCTGGCATCTGGAGGTGTCCCCCGCCTCTGCCCCGCCGTGTTCGGTCGCTTTCCGCCCTCCTCCCCTGCTTTCTTTAATCGCCGTCCGCCGCCTCGGCGCTTTCACGGCCGCATTGCTCGCTGCTGGCGACTGCTTTAGTGGTGACACGCCACCTGCTCTGCCCGCTCCGTTACGCCCGTGACACAGCACCTCATGCTCGAGCTCCACGTTTGGTGCTGCTCGCAGCACTATTGTAGTAACCAATGCTGATGCATTGCCGTCGGTTGGTGCTGTTCATCTTCCGGCGGACGGGCGGTGGGTGGTTCTTCTCTCGCGTTTGTGTCGCCGTGCGTGCGTTTGTTAGATGTGGACGCTGATCTTTGTGTTTGCCCCACTAATGTGATGTGCGGTGCACATGCGACCTGACCACCGGCATCGGATTCTCTCGCCGGAACCAAATGGATCAGGACGAGGGTTCTTCTTTTTTCTTTCTGACTCAGACATAGACATGGTGCTTTTGTGATAAAGTGGCGCTTTTTCATGACGGCCTTTTTGTTTCGACTAAATAAATATCACCGTAACTCTCACCAGAAATGTACTGCCAGATTTTTTTTTGACGACGATTTCTACGGCTGATAAGCTTAACTCATACTATTTTATTATAAGAGAAGAACACTGTACCATGGCTGATAAGTAGTTCCACCGAACATGGCCCATCTAAGGTTTCGTTTGGTTTCCAAGAGATTTGTGGAATCTATATGAAAAAGATCCCATAATTCTAAAATCTCATGTAAATGTACTTAGATTCTAGTGAATTTTAACATATAGATACAGAATCCAATAATTTCCTCTTTGGAATGGAGGAGAAACACAGGATAAGTGTAGGATTCCAATTTCCAAGTATTCGGTCCCTGAAGAAGACTTTTTGTGTGTTAATTTGCTATTGAGGAAGGGGGCCTCAAATGTGCTAGAATTTATTTTTTATTTTTTATCTACATTCCAAATAAAAGCCTAAAAAAGGCCCATGGTGGATGTACGGCCTTGTAGTACGTGTTGCTCGAGAAGACACACGCTTACTTTCCACCTGACTACCTGAGGTCGGCCAAACGGAGCCAGAATAGAATGCGATTGCAACAGCCAACAGGTGGCCGAGGTTAGGAATGGGAAGGAGGGTTGGTATAGCTTGATCGTATTAGTCATGTTTATCAGTTATGATATAGTTTTTTTTTTCTCACATCAAAACAATATCAGTCAGTTTATAAGCCACAGAAACAATAAAGTGAACAACAACATCAGGCCTCGTTTAGATTGCAAATTTTTGTAACCTGGACACTGTAGCACGTTTCGTTTGTATTTGACAAACTTTGTCCGATCATGGACTAACTAGGCTCAAAAGATCCATCTCGTGATTTACAACTAAACTGTGTAATTAGTTATTTTTTTTACCTACATTTAATGCTTCATGCATGCGTCTTAAAATTGATGTGATGGAGAGAGAGTGAAAAAACTTGGAATTTGGAGGTGATCTAAGGCCTTGTTTAGATTGCAAATTTTTGTAACCTGGACACTGTAGCACGTTTCGTTTGTATTTGACAAACTTTGTCCGATCATGGACTAACTAGGCTCAAAAGATCCATCTCGTGATTTACAACCAAACTATGTAATTAGTTATTTTTTATCTATATTTAATGCTCCATACATACGTTCAAAAATTAATATAATGGAGAGAGAGTGAAAAAACTTGGAATTTGAAGATGATCTAAACAAGGCCTCAGTCAGCTTATAAGCCGACCAAGGGGACAGCGGGGCCAACTGGCCAAGGAAGTGGTAGTGGCAGTGGCAGGGAGTGGAGGCAAGGAAGGCGGACGGCTAGCATGGGCATGGCAGAGGACCGCGGCGGCAGATGCCGATGGAAGGCGGCAGGGTGGGGGTGAACAACAGCACAAGTACAGCAGGACGACATCCAATGCAAGAATGTCGGCAAGCAAACCACCAAAATACGGGCTGGGACAATCGAGAGGAATTAAAAAGTAACTAAGTAATAAAGCGAAAGGGAAACAACCGAATCTAGCTTGTCAATTCTAATTACCATGGCTCAAGTTTGACGACTTTAATGGTGTAACCTATGAGAAGAACAAATTTCTACAACCGATGTTATGACCAAATCAAGAAAAGCACATTGGTTTTTGAGTATTTTGCATGCAATTGGTCTATTGGTTTCCCAATGACCCAATGCACATGCATGAGAAGCTTACAATCAACACAATGGACACCGTTCTTCTTTTTTCTTCACGAGAAACTAATCACAGTGGAAACAAATATGATTATATCATAGTTGACAGTAGCGCAGTAGAATGACATGGGTAGTAGTTTTGAAATAAGCAAATCGTTCCTGATGTTTTCATAGTTTCTTTGGGAAAGCTTGAAACATGTGGATGTTGATACGTTCACAAGACCGGCTAACGGTTGGTTGAGGCCATAGTGGTTTCTCAACAGACATGGAAAGTTTTGATAAATCTAACAATATTATAGGACAAAAAAGATCCAATACAATGCATAAAATCTTCCAAACTTCAAATTTAGAGGATGACAAAGAAACTGATGGCATTGGTTTTATTGAAGAATCAAGCTCATCAGTAGGATATTAAAGACTACCATTTGATTTCATAAATATCTATATTTTTATATAAGCTTAATCAAACCTTACAAGTTTAATTAAAATTAAATTTTATAATTATAATTGTGCTCTATTCCGAACCGAGGTGCTACTAGTAGATACGGAGTACTAGTACTAGATTCCACATCATCATGGCCTCGCACCAAGGTTTGGAGCCGATGAACAACAAAGTCCAAGATTCGTCATTATTGTGCCTGGTCGAAAGAGCCGCTCTACTTCTGACTGGTTGCTGCTGTTCCATTCCATTTGTGGCTGGTTGGTGCAGTGGTGCTACGCAGCTGCAGCCTGCAACTGCAAGCAGAAAGCACGGCCGAGCACACCATTGTCCTTGATCGGCAGAAAGTGATCTCTGTATATTCTATGGCGCCACCTGACATGTTCTTAGAAGAGGGAGGAAGCCGTAAGCCGAGCATTTCTTTTATTTTATTTTAAAAAAAGAAGGGCTCTCTAAGTACATTGAAAGTGAATAACAAATGTTTATGAACCATATGGATCGGACCTTTTCATAGTATGAACCCAGCCTTTTTAAAAACTTTTTCAGTAAAGGCAAGATATGCCTTTTAGCTTGCTATATAATGCGCTGATGCAAGGCGGTCGTTGCCATCTCACTTTCAGGTTCCGAGTTCACAAAGATTTTCAGAATATACATAAACATAAAGTAAGACGATCTGATGTAGCTGCAATACGGCAAACGGCTTTGGCCAACAGATGACTCTTATCCTAATTCAGACACGGAAACAAAGAAATAATATACTATATGATTTAGTTATAATTTGGAAAATGTTCTTGGAGCGCAGCTATGATCAAATTTAGGGATCATCACTTAGCCGAATGACAATCTTTTGGTAAAGGCCCCATTTTACACAAGTCTCCCCGACTCACCAAAGAAAAGAAGGAGGCAAAAAAAAAAAAAACAGCAATTACTTGCCTTTGCCTGCCTCAAATTTGACAGTACCAAAATGTTGCTTAGTTTTAGTGTCCGTTGTTATGGAAAGAATTGGATTGAGGAGAGAAGATACCACCCCTTAGTTTTGTCTTTATATAAGTGTAAAAATATGGAAACCACCCTATATATGTCCCCGTGTGAGAATTCGATTTTGAGTTTGCAAAATGTTCAGGAGTAGTTTGTTGAAAATGCCACGTTCTGTTACAAAACCACCCACTAGCTATGTTTGGAAGTAGTGTCGAGAAAAGCTGTTGGAGCCAGCTGCGGCCGCAATCTCCAGTGTAAAACCACTGTAGGAGCTGGCTGCCGCAACTGCTATTTAGCTCAAGTGAGTAGGGTCTAAGGCTCTAGAGCTGATCTGCACCTGTTCTTGCACCGTGAATAAAAACTTAATTTAAAGCCAAGCTAGCTGCCTAGGTAGAACCGTTTGTTTTTCAAAGTTTAAATAGAGAGAGGTCGGGTTCATCCCAATCCATGTTCGTAGTTTCTAAGAAGAAAATGCCACATCCTATAAATCATTTTATGTTCGTACTCTAGAATTCGACTTAGGAGTACGTGAAA